GAAAAACTTAGATGTGACGTCATTAAGTCGCATGAGCAGAGTCAATAAGCGCTTTAATTATTTATCACGCGATCCTCTGCTGTACAAATGTTTGAACTTACGGAATATACACCTAACATATATGCATACAAATATCTGTCAGTTATTTGATTACTTTGCACCCAGATGTAAACGTATACTACAGTTAGATTTGGCATATTGCAAATATTATGCTCCGTATTTTAGGGAATTTTTAGAAACTTGCTGCAGACATTTAACACACTTACGATTAAGTCACTGCAGATATGTTTTTTATTCTGGACTTCTGGGTGATATTTCAGAACTATGCAAAAATTTGAAAGGTACGTACATATACATATAACTCTGTGATTGTTATGATTACTGATAATTTAAATATAATTATAATGTTATACATATATTTTTTAGAATTGGATCTAAATTACTGTAAAGACATAAGACACAAAAATATTTCACACCTCAAAAATTTACAGTTTTTGGAACGTTTACATCTTGAAAACATTTTTTTATTAGAATCTAATACTTTATGTGAAATACTACAGAAAAATCGACAGATGCGTGATTTAAATTTAGCAAATACGCGTTTAAACATAGATACTGCAGTCGTTATAGAATTAAAAAATTGCCTCAATTTGGAAAGATTAAATTTAATGCGATGCTCTATTACATCGCAAGAGATTTATGCTCTTGCCGATTGTAAGAATTTGATAGAAATAAATTTTTCTGGGTACGTATGTGAAAGTGTTTCTTTAAAAATATATATTATTGTACTCTTCTTTGAAATATGTATGTTTATCTTTTATGCATGCAATTGCTTTAATCATATTGGCTCTTGTTTACAGATGCCGGATAAAGGATTATTGTGACAGGAGTGGTGCCTTCAGTAGATTGTTTTCTTCCTGTAAACGCCTGACAAAAGTCGACTTGAGCTATTCTGATCAGTATAAACCTCTCAATAAGCGTGATTTGGAAACACTAGCGTTGTGTAAAAATTTAAAATCTTTAAACTTGATGAGCTTGGATTCTGTGACACCTGCTATATGTTCTCAACTTTTTACAAAATGTACTAAATTGAACGAAATCGATCTTACTTTTTGTAAAAATATTAGTCAAAACTTGGTGGACCAGTGGAACGAAATATACAATGAAATAATTGTATATAAATTTTCACATAGGCAACCCCGGTGATAAAGTTTCTCTGAATTTCTCTGAAAGACTAAAAATTAATTTTCTTGAAAATGTTCCTCATTTTGGATATGTTGCAAAGTTCTCAGAAAATTTTTTAGTATTATTTCAGAGACTTATCAAAATATTTTAGTAATTTTTAAAGATTTTCATATTAAAATGACACTTTGTGATGATTCATGACTATTCAATGTTAATAGATTCATATTTGTAATAGATCAGATCAATAAAGTTATTTAAAAAATTGAAAAATGTTTTTAAAATAAATTTTAACATTTTTTAACTTTCGTACTAGGTGTGACATACTCCAGCAAAATTTAAACTTGTATAACTTTTAAAAAAATGTTGCGCGCAAGTTTTAAACCAATGCTGTGACGATTGGAATTATTATCGTACTTTAAATTGGTATACTTAAAGTGAATACAACATGGGATATGAGATATCTCACATATGGTTTCCTATGTTAATATTTTTTACTTGGTGCACGGATGGTTAACAATTGCACAATTTCCAAAAACATTACTCAATTGCTGAAAAATTCAAAGACTTTTAGACACTTGAATATGATTTTCAGAATTATTTGTAAATTTTCGAATTTTAGCGAAATTCATAGACTGACATTTGGAAATGAATTTGAGAGAAATCGCTGAAAGCCACTTAAAAGTGAGAAACCATGAAAATATAATTTTCAGAGACATCACTGAATTCCTGAGTTTTCGATGTAATCGGATTTCTTTTCACCGCAGCGTTTCGGAAACCAGGGTCAGACAGTGTCGTTTACCTTCCAGCCGGTGTCGCGGTGATGGGCCGTGTTCCCATCGTTGGTCTTCTCTCTAAGGATGTAATCCGACGGGCTCCTGGCTGCCCGTCCGCCTTGATTCTCGTTTCACGGACGCCAGAACCTTTTACCCCCAAGGTTCAAGGAAATGACAACTTTACCCTGCTTTGGGTGATGGGCCCGTCGCTAACATCCGTCGCGGCTCCTTTCCTTTGGCCCGCGGACGCCTTTTCGCGCCTCCCCCGGTTTTGTAGAGGAGATGCCCGGCAAGGAAGTTATTTCGATAAATATTCTTAGGATATTTTACTGATAAAAATATATTTATTTGATTGCTACTTATTTACAAGACTTTACACCTCCGTCCTCGATATACCGGTCCTACTTCGCTTTCGTCACGGCTGATCGTCCTCTACCTCAAAATCGCGCGTGCTTTTCTTTTACATACGTTCGCTCTCGAACCACTTTGCCGATCCAAACAGACCTCGGATTATAGTTGTCCCAATCGCATTTCGCTACTCTACTTTTCTTTTGCACGACTCTCGGAAAAAAGGTCTGTTGCCTTCTCTTCCGCCGCTTAATCCCTCTTCCAGCTCACTTCCGTTATTTACGGTGGGGTTTTCATCCGTCATCTTTCTTGACTCTCTGCCGTTTCGGACCGCAAAGTATACGCCGCTTCGTATACGCAAAGATTAAACGATACATAATATTAACTTTCTTATTTTATTATTATAAAACAATAATTATTACAGAACAACCATTATACGTCCGCGCGACTCACACTTAGTCGCGATGCCGATCACTCTTAATTGTGTCTCACCGTCTATCTCGATCCCGCGACCGTCGCGGTCGGTCCGTTCCTCCTCAGTGCTCTCACCGTGCGCTTCGGTCTCGCGACCGTCGGTCCGCTCCTCATCCGCGATGTTCTCGTCGTATGCCTCAGTCTCGCGACCGCCCGTTCGCTCCTCATCCGCCGTTTGGGCTTTATCCGCCACCATCATTTTTTTCACCACGGTATCGGCTGATGCGGACGGGTCGTGGAATGACACCGATCGCACCGAGAGATTCAAGAACTTTCGGATTCTTATGTATTAATGAATAGATAATAAAATAAAATTCATATTTGCCACTATATATTAATTAAGAGAAAGTAAAATGTTTTTTTTAATAAGAATTTCCATCATTCAAAAGCCCTACTCATTTTAATATAATAGTAAACAACAGATTCTTTTTAGTTCTATACATCTCTGAAGGGTTTTCATTCATTAGTAAAAAAACTTGCATAATAGCATACACTTCTGATTGTTTTTTAATGTACACTTACAGATATCTTTGATATATAGAATTTTAGAAAAATAGCTTTTGACTAGACATATTTTCTGCCTGAATAAATAACTTTCTCTCATTTATTTGTGTTCAAAATGCTATTTTCCTTGGCAAATGCTATTTAACTGAACCGTTGTTAGGCAAATGTTATTCAACGAAGAATGCCTCCACGCATATACTTTACAACGCAAAGCTAAGTTTCATATTGGTTTACAACTTCTTACGCAAAGCGAGATCCATCCCACACCAAGAAATGGTTTCGATTAGGTCAGTTTACTTCGATGCGGAGCCCCTTTCCCGAAGGGGGAGAGCGGAATATACTGCCTCTACGCATATACATATACTTTACAACGCGAAACATGGAATGATGTTTTTTGCCACTTTTGACATTTCTTTGCGATAAAACGGAAACTGCTTTTTATATGAATCCAATGAAAAGTGGTCGCCATTTTCATTCTAATTTACTCAAAATCGTGATGCGCTAGACAGAATTCTGCTAATAACATCATGTTCAGCATAAAAAAAATCTTGGGGAAACGTTTAGCCGCGCTTTAGAGAGAAAAAAAGTGTTTTTGTAATACAGTGTATAACGTATTAATGTATACAGTGTATATTTGTTACTAATTGTATAATTGTAAATATGTAAAATTAGTCAAATTATATTTTAGTTCTTTAATATTGGTTACCTATATTAAATAAATCTTATTATATGCAATTTAGTGATTTTAGAAATAAAAATAAAAATGTAAGGGGATTATAGGAATCAAATTCGAATAATAAACAATAAGAGGGCTAATGGGCCGAGCTGGGCGTGTGCTTATATTTATATTAAATTTAACCACATTTAAAATGTATACGATAAATCACATCTTTTAAATACGGACTTATAGATCGAGTCATGAAAATGGATGACAAGGTAAAAATAATCAAATAGTGAAATTTAATCTGTATGTGAACGATTATTATATTTATTGTAAGTGTATTGCGAAAAATTTCTTTAGCCAGTAGCTAGCATTACATGCGCGCGCGCAGCAAGCACACAAGATGTAAGTCCGACCGTGTAACCTCCCTGTAAGGGGTACACCTCGAGTAATGCTAATACCGGCGACCTTACACATACAAGTTTTTACAGAAAAGATCTGAAAATGCATTACTCAATTGGAATTTATAATTTAGTGAAAAAAATTGTGGCCAAATGATTAAAGAATACATAATTTTTAAGGGGAAATATCGAATTTTACAATAGTTACAGAAATTTGTAGAAAGAATTTTGTTTATCTTGTGCATGCTAATCTTAAGTCGTAGGAATTGACCTATCACGGTCGAATGTGAGGAGAATAATTGACTGCGATTGGTCAATTTCCTACGACTTAAAACTTAAACAGCTTCTACAATGCAGTTTTGCAGTGTCGTGACTTTAGGTTTGCAGTCTTAGGGATAATTCACATTGACACCGAAAAGCATAATTTCGGAAAGGCAAAAACCAATCAGAAGTTATACACACGGAGAAATGCCTGCCCATCATGAAGTTGCATGCGTATCGGGACGTATTCGGAACTCATGCTTCTTTTTCAAGGTCCATCTACAATGAGAGTAGTAAGTTGTAAGCCGTAAGAATATAAGAAATATAGTCGACTGTGATTTGTCAATTTCTTACGGCTTACGACTTACTATACTCTCATTGTAGGGGTGCGTTCCGTATTAACGTTCGGACGACAACTTTTTGTCCAAATCCGTTCCGTTTAAGCTGTGTGACGTCATAACCGCGTTCCGTTTTCACAGTTTCCAAACGCCCGGGCGACAACTTTTCGTCGTGCTCGGGACTCCGACGAGAAACGTCTCGCATGCGCAGAACGGCGTAGGTCTATAAAGCGCGACGGTCAAATATATATGTATTTGCATTGTATGTTATGTTTATGTTCTGTCAATTTGTGTTTATAAATATAAAGAATTATATATTATGTTTGAAGTTTTATATCTGAATAAAATTGTTTATTGGCTCGTATTTAGAAATAAAATTAGAAATAGAGACTAAGCAAATTAAGATGTAATATAGATATAATTTTATCGAATAAAGTTA